ACAGTTCTTGGGACCAGCCATTAGCGTAATGGCTATGTCGCTGGACTCTCACGTAGTCGACTATGGTTCAAGTCCCAGACCCGGTGGTTTAAACTTATGCCAGGTGGGTGTGTGTGCATGCCCAGGATCCCGAGAGGAGAAAGGAGGAGAAGGGATTGCGGCGTAGCCATCTCCCCAGGAGGTGATTTCTGGCTTTCTGTCTCTCAGTCTCTGTCTTTCTGGCAAGCACACACGCCCTATAGCAAAAACCTCTCCAAAAAAAAAAAAGAAAAATAATAATAATAATAATAATTTAAAAAAAAAACAAAAAGAAGAGACAGATCTCAGAACCAGCAAATGGCATAATGGTTACATCACTGGACTCCCATGTAGTCAACCACAGTTTGAGTCCCAGACTCAGTGGCTTTAAATTCTCGCTGGGCTCATGTGCATGTGTGTCCAAAATCCCGGGAGGAGAATGGAAGAAAAGGGATTGCAGCATAGCCATCCCCCCGAGAGATAATTTCTCACTTTCTGTGTCTCTGTCTCTTTCTGTCTCTCCAGCGAGTACGCTCGCCCTATAGCAGAAATCTCTCTAAAAAAATGTAAAAAGAAGAGATAGTTCTGATTCTGTACAAAGAAGGAAGAATACAGTGCAGGATTGGCATGGCCGCTCACATCACCAATGCCCAGTCTTTTCCCTTTCTGCTCTACAATTACGTGGCCTCCATGTTCACATGGCCTCCAGCATTGTGACTTCCAGCCTCGGAGTCACCTCCTCTTTCTAGCTGGACATGTCAGCCAAAATGTCCACATTCTAACTAGGAAGCTGGAGGAAGGGAAAAAGGAAAAGATGCCCTTCCCAGCGAAGCCAGCCCCCTACTTTCCAGGAAGCCCCACCTGGTCATTTGTATTTTTGTGGTCAGCCACCTCAGACTATAAGGGAGTTTTCAAAAAGTGTGTGGAAAATGAGTATTATGAGAAAACTGCACAGATTTCAAGGTTTGTTGCACCAAAATAAACTTATATTTTATTTTTCCACAAACTGTTTTTGTTTTTTGCTTTTTTCATTTATTTCTTCCATGAGCAAAAGAGACAGACAGATAACACCCACAACAGGTGTCGATACCACGATCCAACCCAGCCCCAGCCAGACCCAGATCATGAGGCACAGGTGCCTGGCATCTTAGGGAGGTCTCTGAGCTTGAACCCTGAACTTTCCCACATGGGTCAACCTATCAGAGTGTTGCGTTTAACTGTTGTGTCACCATCCGGCCCCATTCATAAGCTCTTTGAAGTACCCTGATCTGTTACCTTCAATAAGGAGGAAAAAGGAGAGATGAGGTCAGGACTGGCAGTTTGTAGCCTCTGCCCCAGAAAGTGCCCTCTAAGCCAAAAAAGAGCTCCATGGCTTCATGAAGGGCCCTGCAGCTGTCTGATCCCTCCCCATGGCAAAGTCAGGTTGAAGTGGGGTTTTCATCTGGCTGAGGACAGAAATGCAAAGAGGAGAATTAGGAGTGAAGCCAAAACAGCATGGAGGAAGAAAAGTTGGAGGTGGAAACTTCCACCAGAGTCGGGAATGCGGGAGGCTGGGGCCAAGGTCAAGACCAGACAGGGGTGGGTGGAGAGACACCGTGGTCGGGCTGCTGGTCTCTACTAGAAACAGTAGTGTCTGGAGACTCAGGGCAGCAGATGGGAGTTCCCAGAGGTCCAGTAGGTCTGCCTGACTCCCATCTGAAGATGGTGGTGCTTCCCTCACCCAGAACTGGATTACCAGTTTAGCCCCATGTGCTAAACCTGCCTGCACCCCAGAAGGTCTTGACGCTCATTCGCTATAAATGATGCACAGGTAGTGAGGACCGGTCTCTTCAGGTCAATCAGTAACATCAGGGTTGACCTTTACACTGTGACCTTAAAATAAACATGCAGATTTAACCACATACTTTCACATCCCCAATTTCTTTCACTAATCTGACCTTCTCAAAGCTCGAGGAGAGAACAAAATTAAATTCTTCTTTATGGGTGATGTTCGCAAGCAAGGCTTGGATCCAAAAGTTCAACTAAAGCTGTATCACCAGGCAGTTTGGGGTGCATTCATTCTGTGTTAACTTGCTGTGTTACCTGGGGTAAGTTAACCTCACCTCCTGAAGCCTTGGTTTGTTTATAAAATAATGGATCTGGGAGAGATGATTCTGTCTCTTTCCAACTCTAAAATTTTATGCCCCTAAAAATATGTTAAAGGGTGGCTGGATCCCACAGGGCCAACTGGGTGGTTCAGGTCCTAGATCCAGCACCTTGGAAATACAGCAGGCACATGAGTGCGCATGCCAAAAATCTCAAGAGGAAAATGAAGGGGAGGGGATTGTGGCATGGCCCTCTCCCCTGAGAGTGTTCTATCACTTTCTCTCTTTTGCTCTCTCTCTCTCTCTCTCTCTCTCTCTCTCTCTCTCGTGAGCCCACATGCCCCTATAGCAAAAAAAAAAAAAAAAAGTAAAACTGTTGCACAGCACTTGATAAACAGATTGCCTTGGAAGCACTTGCCTTGGTAGAGATAGAAATATTACAGGGATTGGGGCCAGCAGGTGGCATGGTGGTGGGGGCACTGAACTCCCACATGGTCGACAGCAAATGGAGTCCCGGACTCAGGTGGCTTGCTTTCACTTTCCCTTTCTCTCTCTCTCTGGTCAAACTAAAACATAATAACAATTAAAGATAATTAAATAAGTAAGCCTTAAAAAAAAAAAGAAGAAGAAGAAGAATTTTAAAAAAGAAACAATACAGGAATTTGTCTTTCCTTGCCTTGGGCCAATGGAGATCTCTGTTCCTTTTCCCTCCCCCCACCTGTGTCTTTGCAGGTGTGCATCCTTGAGTGTGAAGAGAAGGTCTTCCCCAGCCCTCTGTGGACTCCATGCACCAAGATCATGGCTAGGGGCTCCTGGCAGCTCAGCCCCGCTGACCCAGAGCATGTGGTAACAGCTCTTTACCAGCCAAGAGCCTCTGAGATGCAGCATCTGAAGCGCATACCCCGGGTCAGAAGCCTATTCCAAGCGCAGGAAGAGACAGAGCCTGGCACAGAGGAGGCTGGTGACGTGGAGCAGAAGCAGTTGCAGAAGAGGTTTGGGGGCTTCACCGGGGCCCGGAAGTCGGCCCGAAAGTTTGCCCACCAGAAGCGTTTCAGTGAGTTTATGAGGCAGTACCTGGTCCTGAGCATGCAGTCCAGCCAGCGCCGGCGCACCCTGCACCAGAATGGTAATGTGTAGCCGGAAGGGGAGCCCCTCCCAGCTGCACCGTCCACTGCAACCCATGAGTGAGTTGGGCACCAATGAGCTGGGGGCAAGAAGAGACCACATACACCCAAGGGCCTCAGCCTTCCTCCCAGGCTTGGAAGCACATTAGCTCTCAAACACACACAACACCTCAAGGAGTCTGGCTTCTGGGAACCCTGGCAGAAAACACCTCCCTGCCTCCTACCCACCCTTTCTCTAGGAAGAAAAATTTTCCTACATTGCTCCTTGAGACTGACCACTCCCATCTTGACATTGGTTACCGTGGGAATAATAGTAGTCTGTTAAGATAACTAATTCCTCTATAGCTCTCCAGGAGCTTAGTTACTATGGGGACAGTTAAGTGGACCAATCCTCCTAACCAGTTGCCATGGCAACCATTCAGCTCACCTTTCCTCAGAGACCATCTCTCTAAAACCCGATAGCTGGACGAACTCTTAGCCATTCAGAGTACAATTACTGTAGCTATGATGTAGCTAGCTCATTTTCATTCTTTTCTCTTTTTTTGGTTTTATAACTTTATTTGAAAATCAGCAGTTAGTTCTCATCCACATTGACTATTTTTTTTAAAGGAGTAGCAGGTACATAGGTCACCAGAGTGTAGAGCTTACTGGGAGAATCTTCATCCTCGTTATGTTTTCTGAACAACTGCACACGGATTCGATATGGGACGTTCCTTACTCCTTTGGCCCAGACAGCTTTGTTGAGCCTGGTATCTGTGTGCACATCTGGAGTCCCCATCTCCTTCATGGCAAATTTCTGGATTTCCTTGAGTGCCCAAGGGGCATGTTTCTTGAAGTCCACGCCATGGATGTGCTTGTGAATGTCAATGGTGTATTCCCAGGTCACCACCTCGTTGATGGCAGAACAGCCCTTCTTCTTCTCACCACCCTTCTTTGCAGGAGCCATTCTGCTCAGCCTAAGTTGGAAAGAAAATCAGCTAGCTGATTTTCAAAGATCGCTTGTCTACCTTCTCCTCTTCCGTTTATGTCTTACAGTGACGAACTCTCTGGAAACCATTTAGCCATTTTCCCCAACCAGGAGTTCTTGTTAGGACCAGCAGTTGTGCTTTCTGCCCTTCTTCCTTCCATCTGTCCACCCTACCACCTTGCCAGAGAGGGGTTAACCCTCGTGGTCAACAGATCGTCACTGAGCAAGACTTCGAGAATTCAGCCCAACTGACTCAGTACTTTTTAGAATATAATCTAAGGGATTCATCATCTTTTCACTTTTGGTTTCTTTCCAAAATGGCATTTTTTGTTTTTGTTTGCTTGTTGTTTTTTTTTGTTGTTGTTGTTCCTTCTCTCCCTTCTTTCTTGTTCTCTCTTTCTTCTGGTCTTCAGGCATGCTGACACATACATGTACATATAATACATACAGATAATATATTAAGGACAGCAGCGTACTGCCCAATTCTTCCAAGTTCAACTTTCCTCAGCTCCCCAACCAATATATAACTTTGAATGGCTTTTAGGTACTACCAGTAGCACAGTAAAGTTTTCCAAAAATCTACGAAAATCCCAACCATCAAACGTGCATGCTTTAACTTGCATGTGGGAATATGATCCTCTGCAGAATCCCATGTAGCTCCTTAACAGCCTAGGAACTTGCCTTGATGCAAAGAACAAGTCTGGTTGCCAAAATCATCCACAATACAGCTCAAGTGGGGCTTTTCCCTGACTCACAGGCATAAAAAAAAAAAAGTCTGCACATGCTTTTTATTTTGCTCCACATGCCTTATCATGAATAATCTCCCTTTAAGGTATATTAGTACATGTGTCAACCTTTGGTGCCCACATTTCAGCATGGAGGCAGCCCATGTAGCTCTTTGTAGGTAGGCCAAGCTTGCCTGCAACAGGCCCGAGCCCAAATATGGACTCATGTATTAATCGTAAGGAGAAGCCTGCCGTGTTTATTTTAGCAGAATGACTAATCTCTGAAGGCCTTGAATTAACCTGCACTGTGTTTGAAATCCGACTCTTAGATTCTTTGCAAGCATTCCACTTCTTTCCCACCCACAGCTGCACAGTACCAACCGGTCAGTCATCCAGAAGTAGCACGGATTGAAGTAGCACGGATTGAACTCTTTCAAATCTTCAAGACGTTCTTTGAAGTGGTTCTTAGGGAACACAAACTCAGATCTAGTTCTGAACTTCAACAATTTTCTTTACCTAAAGAGTATGAAATCAATCTTATTAAATAGCCAGAATCAATGTTTTAAAACTATTTGAATCCCTATCTGAGCAATTTGGTTTTTAAATTTTCTATTATACTTCCAACTGAGAGGCACTGAAACAAAGCTGGGAACTAGCTTCTGTCTGCTGCTTTCCTCAACATGCAAAGCCCTCAGTGAAACATTGGGGATGTTAACTGGCCCATTGGGGTATTATTGATGCCTCCCCTTCTCCTTCTGCAAGCATCTGTTTTTCTTCCACATGTGCATGACGGCTTAGTTCCAATATGGATATGTATCTGTGGGTCTCTAACAGGCAGCTTAAACCTTGTTTATACTCACACACACCCAACCTAACCTGCACATGACAAAGTTCTCTCCCTCTTAGTCGACTCATTTCCAAAACTGTCCCTGACTTCTAAGATGCCCTTCTAAGATTCCTGACTTCTAAGATACCATCTATACTTAGAAAGCTGGGGGGGGGAATGGGGTCACCTAACACTGCAGTGGGATAAAGAGCTCTATTCAGAGTATAATAATGTCCTAGGAAGGAAGGCCATTGGGATGCAGGTCAGCCCTAGACAGAACTGCGAAAAGGACATGATCTTGGTACCCACCTTCCCTACCCCGACCCTGTACTGCTCTCTTTTCTGCTGTCCACTCAGGAGCCTTCTAACAGTGGAAAGTAGGCAGACTCACACGTAGTCGGTACTACTGTGAAATGCTTAAAGGGCACCTACAGTAAAAGAGAGCTGCAAATAAAGGCACTTCCAAATACCAGGGAGAAGAGAACAGTTCTCAGGGAGCTCGTCACTGTGGTCTTTAAGCCACAGCCCATCGGCCTCCCTCGGTGTCCGGAATGAAGAACCCTCCTGGCCACTTTAGGAACTATTTATTGGGTTGGTCCCTTTTCTTTGCCTCCTTTAGATTTTGCTCCAGTCACTTGGGCAAAACCATTGAACAGTCCAAAAGTATCAGGTTTGCCATTTTAATCATTTCTGTCTCCCCAGGCGTCCAGGTGATCCCCAAAACAGCATGTGTCCAGCCCCAGACCTGCCGGCTGGGAATCAAGATTCCTTCATTCCCAAGGCACTGAGCTCGCAGGCCCTGCAGACTTTGCCTCCAGAACCTCCCATCTGGTCGTCTTCCCCACCCATGGCATGTTCCACCACTCCCCGTTGCTACATCAGAGTGTATTTTTGTAATTCCTCCAGCGAACATTTCAGTGGCCTCGTCTTGCCTTCTCACTCTCCCCTTCCCTCTTCCAGGGGCGGGTGAAAGGAAAATGAAATCAAGCCTGGGGTTTTGTCACTGCCATAACTTGTTTGTAAAAGAGCTGTTCTTTTTGACTGTTTTAAACAACTATTTCTCCATTAAACTTCTACTGAGCAAATGGTTAATAAATTGGTTTGTTTTTGTTTTAAGAGATTTTTACTATAGGGCATGTGGGCTCGCCGGAGAGACAGAGACAGAAAGCAAGAAATCACTCCCCAAGTGGGATGGCCACATCACAATCTCTTCTCCTCCGTTCTCCTCTCGTGATTTTGGGCATGCATGCACGCGTGCCCAGTGTGAGTTTCAAGCCAGCAGGTCCAGGACTCAAACCACAGTCAGCCACATGGGGGTCCAGTGCCTTAACCAATATGCTGCCCGCCCACCCCTAGTTTATTGTTTTTAAGTTCAGTGACTGAGACACACAAACTCTGCAAACATAAACCTGCACTGTGTTTGAAATCCGACTCTTAGATTCTTTGCAAGCATTCCACTTCTTTCCCACCCACAGCTGCACAGTACCAACCGGTCAGTCATCCAGAAGTAGCACGGATTGAAGTAGCACGGATTGAACTCTTTCAAATCTTCAAGACGTTCTTTGAAGTGGTTCTTAGGGAACACAAACTCAGATCTAGTTCTGAACTTCAACAATTTTCTTTACCTAAAGAGTATGAAATCAATCTTATTAAATAGCCAGAATCAATGTTTTAAAACTATTTGAATCCCTATCTGAGCAATTTGGTTTTTAAATTTTCTATTATACTTCCAACTGAGAGGCACTGAAACAAAGCTGGGAACTAGCTTCTGTCTGCTGCTTTCCTCAACATGCAAAGCCCTCAGTGAAACATTGGGGATGTTAACTGGCCCATTGGGGTATTATTGATGCCTCCCCTTCTCCTTCTGCAAGCATCTGTTTTTCTTCCACATGTGCATGACGGCTTAGTTCCAATATGGATATGTATCTGTGGGTCTCTAACAGGCAGCTTAAACCTTGTTTATACTCACACACACCCAACCTAACCTGCACATGACAAAGTTCTCTCCCTCTTAGTCGACTCATTTCCAAAACTGTCCCTGACTTCTAAGATGCCCTTCTAAGATTCCTGACTTCTAAGATACCATCTATACTTAGAAAGCTGGGGGGGGAATGGGGTCACCTAACACTGCAGTGGGATAAAGAGCTCTATTCAGAGTATAATAATGTCCTAGGAAGGAAGGCCATTGGGATGCAGGTCAGCCCTAGACAGAACTGCGAAAAGGACATGATCTTGGTACCCACCTTCCCTACCCCGACCCTGTACTGCTCTCTTTTCTGCTGTCCACTCAGGAGCCTTCTAACAGTGGAAAGTAGGCAGACTCACACGTAGTCGGTACTACTGTGAAATGCTTAAAGGGCACCTACAGTAAAAGAGAGCTGCAAATAAAGGCACTTCCAAATACCAGGGAGAAGAGAACAGTTCTCAGGGAGCTCGTCACTGTGGTCTTTAAGCCACAGCCCATCGGCCTCCCTCGGTGTCCGGAATGAAGAACCCTCCTGGCCACTTTAGGAACTATTTATTGGGTTGGTCCCTTTTCTTTGCCTCCTTTAGATTTTGCTCCAGTCACTTGGGCAAAACCATTGAACAGTCCAAAAGTATCAGGTTTGCCATTTTAATCATTTCTGTCTCCCCAGGCGTCCAGGTGATCCCCAAAACAGCATGTGTCCAGCCCCAGACCTGCCGGCTGGGAATCAAGATTCCTTCATTCCCAAGGCACTGAGCTCGCAGGCCCTGCAGACTTTGCCTCCAGAACCTCCCATCTGGTCGTCTTCCCCACCCATGGCATGTTCCACCACTCCCCGTTGCTACATCAGAGTGTATTTTTGTAATTCCTCCAGCGAACATTTCAGTGGCCTCGTCTTGCCTTCTCACTCTCCCCTTCCCTCTTCCAGGGGCGGGTGAAAGGAAAATGAAATCAAGCCTGGGGTTTTGTCACTGCCATAACTTGTTTGTAAAAGAGCTGTTCTTTTTGACTGTTTTAAACAACTATTTCTCCATTAAACTTCTACTGAGCAAATGGTTAATAAATTGGTTTGTTTTTGTTTTAAGAGATTTTTACTATAGGGCATGTGGGCTCGCCGGAGAGACAGAGACAGAAAGCAAGAAATCACTCCCCAAGTGGGATGGCCACATCACAATCTCTTCTCCTCCGTTCTCCTCTCGTGATTTTGGGCATGCATGCACGCGTGCCCAGTGTGAGTTTCAAGCCAGCAGGTCCAGGACTCAAACCACAGTCAGCCACATGGGGGTCCAGTGCCTTAACCAATATGCTGCCCGCCCACCCCTAGTTTATTGTTTTTAAGTTCAGTGACTGAGACACACAAACTCTGCAAACATACAGAGTTGCCTCTCCCAGGAGGCCCTGCTCTGTATGAACTTGAGCAGCAAGACCTGTGGGCCGACAGGGGTGCGTTCAGTAGCCAGTGGAGCCGGATAGATGCACACGACTGTGTGGATGCACAGGCACGGTAGAGGGACGACGGTTCTCCAAACCCTCAGCCTGCATCCACACCACAGTCGGGACAAACTGCTGGGCCCCAGCCCCAGGTCTTGACTTAGTGGAAATTCACATTTTTAACAAATTCCAAGTGATACAGATCCTGAAGGTTTGGGACCAGTGGATTGGGGCACAAGGTGAGGGAGAGTCAAGGGAAACCTGCTGATGCCACTGTTATGTCCAACTTAACATGAGACATGTTTAAGTGTGTGACTGTCAGAGTCCAGCCAAGAGATGTGAGGAGCCCGACAGTCACTGAGGGAAGTGGATCTCTACCAAAGCACACAAGGTTCTCAGAAATCTAAGGTGCCTGGGCAGGGACCAGGGTGTTCTTGGAACCCACAAGGGCTGTAGCTCTCTGTAGCCTACAAGAGAAAAACACAGCCATTCACGCACTATGGGAACCAGAGGATCTGATTCCACACCCACTTTCAAACTCCAGCCCAGTGTTTCCTCTTGGCCAAGTTCAACCAGAAGCTGGAAAACCAGGGAGTTCACTACTCAGACAGCAGTAATGATCTCAGGGGACTTTGGCAAATGGCAGTAGAGCAAGCTGGCTCTATCTGGGACTTTTTGTTTAAGAAAGGGAGCCAATGGGACTGGCAGATGCCGTAATGGCTACATCGCTGGACTCCCATGTAGTCAACTGTGGCTCGAGTCCCGAACCCAGTGGCTTAAACTCACGCTGAGCACATATGCGTGTGTGCCCAAGATCCCAAGAGGAGAATGGAGAAGAGATTGCAGTGTGACCATGCCCCCTGGGGGTGATTTCTCGCTTTCTCTCTATCTCTGTCTTTCTTCCCCCCCCCCCCCACCCCCCCCCCCCCCAAAAAAAAAGAAAAGAAAGAAAGGGAGCCAAAGAGAAAGGCAAGGGACAGGCAAGATTACATCCCGAAGGGAAGGAAAAGATAAAGAGGAGGTCAGAAGACGAGTGCTTTACAGACTGCTGGGCTTGCCCAACCCCGAGAAGGCCCTGCATCTTCTCAGAGCAGCAATGTCAAGGGTCCCTAGAACCCGCTCCCAGATACCTCACAGTCCCCAAAGCTTCTCCCAGCCTCTGCCTCCTTCCTCATCAGCACCCCTCATCAGCCCAGCCCCTGCTTTTCCTTGACAGAATGCCCACTTCACAGAGGAAGGACCCCATCGGGCCTCCCACCTGCCCCACCACCTTAAGTTCGCATCAGGGTACTACGTTCCCCTTCTATTGTAAATACACTTTGAACATCTAAACCCACTTCCACAACTACTTCCCCAAGCCTGGTCCTTCTTAAAGTTCTGCAACTCAGATGCATAAATCAGGCCCTGGGTGGGTGCTTTCTGCCTCCAGCCCCCTTCCTGCAGAGGCCAGCACTGCTAAGCACGTGGGCCACCACAGCACGTGGGACCATCAAGGAGCAGACTATACTCAGAACCCATTTTTTTTTTCTTTAGGTTTTGGCTATAGGGTATGGGCTTGCCAGAGAGTGGCAATGAGAAAGAAAATGAGACGTCATTCCAAGGAGGATGGCCATGCCACAATTCCTTCTCCTCCATTCTCCTTTAGGAATTTTGGGCATGCACGCACATGCATCTGGCATGATTTGGGGTTTTTTTTAAGAGACATTTTTGCTGTAAAACAAGTACGCTCACTGGAGAGTCAGAAACAGACAGAGACAGAAAGTAAAAAGTCATCCCCCAGGAGGGATGGCCACACCGCAGTCCCTTCTCTCAGGATTCTGGCATGCATGCACACATACCCAGCATGAGTTTCAAATCACTGGGTCTGGGACTTGAACTGCAGGCAGGTGGGAATCCAGCGACGAAACCATTTTGTCATCCGCTGGCTCCCAAAAACCCGTTCTGTAAGTAGAGCATGACCCTCCGAAGTCACCTGCCCAGTCCCCAGCAGACGCAGGGGTACGGCTAAGAACAGGTCCACATTGTCAGCATCAACAGTAGAAAACAGGTACTGCCTGGATTAAAACCCTAGCACCCTGGGGAATAACCTAGTAACGCCATTACCTCCCAGTGGACGGCCTTCAGCAAGTTACTGAATCTTTGCATCTTGCTCTCATCTGTGAGATGGGAAAAACAAAGTCACTCCCTCACAGGATTACAGGGGGCCCCTTTCAGCAACTGACCTAGTCCATCCAGATGTTACCTCCTGTTCATCATAAACACATGATCGTGTGTGCTTTGCTGCGGTGTGACAGGCCATCACGTGTTCAACACCAAGGATGACGACAATCTTCAATCATCCTCGCAGGGTAAGGAGCAGAGGGACAGGCACACATCAAATCAGACAAGGTACCATTTTATTCTTTATAAAATATATTTCATATTGTTGCTGTAAAAACATTACATTTCACATTTGTTTTAAAAAATTTTTAACAGTAAAAATAATACTTGGAAGACAGCTGGGGAAAGGGGGCCGATAAGACAAATTCACAGATGGGATTTATCTCCTGCCTCCTTTTTCTTTTTCTTTTTCTTTTTTTTTTTTTTTTTTTGCCCCTGGTAAAGGCAGAACCTGGGATAGCCAGAAAGTAACAGGACAGATTTCCTCCAACAAATCAGAGTTCTCACTTCCAAATTAACATCGTCCTCCAAGGAGTCCAGCTATCGACTCACTACAACACAACAACGTGGCCTTTGCTCTAAAATGACAAAATTGAGAGACCAGCACGTAACGTAATGGCTATGTCGCTGGGCTCCCATGTAGTCGACCATGGTTTGAGTCCTGGACCCGGTGGCTTAAAACTCACGCCGGGCGCGTGTGCATGTGTGTCCAAGATCCCGAGAGGAGAATGGCAGAGAAGGGATTGTGGCATGGCCATCCCCCCTGGGGGGTGATTTCTCGCTTTCTGTCTCTCTGACTGTCTTTCTGGCCAGCGCATGTGCCCTATAGCAAAAAAAAAAAAGAAAAAAAAAAAACTCAGAAAAAAGACAGAATTGCTTTCAGAGTCATTTCAAAAGTCAAGCAATTGTACTTGATGGTCTTCCTGCTTTGCACCTGAGACGTCACTGGAGACGGACATTCGCGTGACTCTGCACTAAGCGAGCGTGGGTGCAGACTCAGATCGTTAAAGCTGTGCAAAGCCCGGCACCACGGACTCTGAAGGTGATTCCGAGAAACATTCAGAATCAGGGTAACACCGCTGGGATCAAGTTTCCCGAGATAGCTGCTTTGAAATCAATCCTGTGAGTGTCCGCAGCACACCTGTGGCATCCTCCTTCGATCAGCTCCTGCTGCCTGGTGAGCTGGGAAGTTGGGAGACACCATCCGGAGACGAGGGAAGCAGGCGTGACGGGCTGGGTCTGTTTACAAGTTACCCCCACCCTGCGAGAAGAAACAAGGCGGCAACCCCAAGGACAGACCACGTGGGATTGAGAAGGAGCCGATGGATGAGGGTGGGTGGGGTGGGGACAGTGTCACCAAAAAGGAGGGAGAAAATGCTGACAGGGAAGGCTGCACCAAAACAAAGCCAGAAACAAAACTACTCTGCTTTGAAACTGCTCCATCGATTTCTCCTTTGTCGTTTCCTTTTCCACCCTGTGGATGGCGCCTGAGAAGCCTACGTCATAGAGAACATGTCCATATCCAGTTGTATCTACATGGTTCGGCCAAGGCAGGGATCGCGGGGGAGTCAAAGCAGTTTTTCTAAAAAGAAGACTCAGAAAGAACTCTGATTAAAAAGACAAGGGAAGACAGCAGGTGGCATGATGGTTATGGTGCTGGATTCCCACATGGCTGACTATGGTTCAAGTCCCACACCTGGTGGCTTAAATCACACTAGGCACATGTATGTGTGTTTCCAAAATTTTGAAAGGAGAATGGAGAAGGTATTGCAGCATGGCCGTCCCTCCTTGGGGTGATTTCTCTTTCTCTCTCTCTCTCTCTCTGCCTTTCTCCAGTGAGTGCAGGTGCCTTATAGCAAAAACCTAGGAGGAAAAAAAAAGTATAAAAATATATCCCATCACCACCAAAAACACCCATGCGCAGAGTGTCTGTCCCTTCAGTCACTGGCCTGGGCCACTACACCCTTCACAACACACCCTACTATTAAGTTGCCAGTGTTTTGAAACACTCAGTGTGTCTCTGATTAAGAAGTGTATGTATGGGGGCAGCAGATGGTACGGTGGTTGAGGCACTGCACTCCCAGTGCGCAACTGCAGTTCAAGTCCCTTAAAGCTCACATCAAGCACGTATGTGTATGTGCCCCAAATTCCGAGAGAATGGAGAAGGGACTGTGGCATGGCCATTTCTCCTGGGGGAGGGGGTTAATATCTTGTTTTCTGTCTCTCCCACAACTGCACATGCCCTATAGCAAAAAATCTCCCTTAAAAAATGTATATATATGATGTCCCACATGAGGCCAGCCAAGGAAGCCTCAGTGGCAACATGTCTTCCTCTGGGTCCAAGATGACCTCGATGACTACCAAGGAGTGAATGCTGCCACTCAGTCCCAGGAGAGGTGGCTTGGTGAGGTTCCCCGGGCCCCGATATCTGGACATAGGTCCATATTTCGCAGCCAAGACAGTCAGGTCGTGGTGGTCATGTTCAAGTAGGCCCTGAGGAATCCCCAATAAGTCATGCTTAGAAGAAAGGGAGGGTCCAAAACAGAAGCACCCGCTCGTGTCGGGAATTGCCCCGCAGCCCTTCTCCACCACCGCTGGCACAGAAACTCCCTGCAGGCCCCTCCCTCTCCACAAGAACAGCTCGCCTGCTGAGCTTGGAGCAGCCTGGGCTCCCCTGAATGCCTGTGGTCTCCAGAAACACTGGGAGCTGCAGCCCAGACCCGTGTGTCCTGGGTGGTGCCCTCAGCTTGACTCACTCCTGCAAGGCCTCTCCTTAAACTGCCCATCCTGCCATCGGACAAGAAATGGAGCTCAGCAGGTCGCTGGGAAGCCCAGGGAGCATCTCACAACTGGACCAACAGTGCTGGAAGAATCCAGAGCCCTTCTGCACTCACCAGAGAGTCCCGTCCCACTTTTCTACTTACGACCTTGGGAAGATCACATTGTCCCCAAAAGGACAGGTAAATGGGAATGCCCTGAAACCTGTCAATCCTGCTCCATCCCAGAGGCCAGCCACCACTGGCCTTTCCACCCTCGCTCTCCCTGCCCCATGGCCAGCCCACCCTGCGACCTCGAGAGGGAAATGGAGAGATCCATAGTGAATCCAGGAGACAAAAAAGAACCTGCTGGGACCTCTCACAGCCACCCAAGTAAAAAGGAAACTTGAATCAGTAAAGGTGCTTTGGAATACACCATATAAAAAAAAAAGTCTTTTCCAGAACTAGACAGAGGGGACGCCAGGAGGAAGTTTCCTCAGGTGAGAGAAGAATTTCCACAAACCCTTAAACCCTCTAGGACCTCCTCAAGGAAAAAAGAAAGAATGATCCAGGTAGTGTTTAACTGCCACATGTCAAAAAGTAGATTCCTGGGCCAGCCGGTGGTGTGGCGGTGAAGGCAGCTGGATCCCAAGTGGCCGACTGTGTTGTTCAAGTCCCGGACCCGGCAGCTTATACAACATGCCTGGCATGTGTGCATGTGTGCCCAAAATTCTGAGAGGAGAATAGAAGAAAAGGGACTGTGGCATGGCCACCCTCCCAGGAGATGCTTTCTCACCTTCCCTCTCTCTCTCCATTTCTCTCCAGCAAGCACACATGCCCTGTTACAAATTTAAAAAAAAAAAGAAAGAAAAAAAGTGGATTCTTCTTAGCCTTTTGGCTCAGCCATTGGGAACAGTCTTTAAGAAGCTATCAGTCCAATCTCTGAGAAGAAGCCACACAATATTTGTTGGGATGCAACCCAGTGTCTGAGGGAACCCAGACACAAATCATTGTCTCTAAAAGGGTTTCCTTGGACTGTCACGGAAGCGTCTCAGATGGGCAAGAGCGCTCGCACCTTGCAGAGCTCTCCACACCTGCTCTCGCCACCCCGGCCGGGCACTCCGCTCCAAGTCATCTGTCAGCCAGAAGCTTATTTTTTTTTTTTAAAAGAAAAGTAAATTCATCTTGCTCACAGTTCTTTCTGGAAGAGTTGAGAAAGCAAAGAATTCACCAACTCAGCAGGAGACAGAACAAGCTCCTTCTTTTGATACGTCCAAACTAATCCCTTAGAGGAGAGAGATGCAGGAAAGGGAAGGTCATTCATTCTTTGGTCTCTGGTTCGCTGCAGAATACCCTTGGTCAGTTTTAGTCCTCTCCTATTTTAGGGGGGAAATATTTTTGTTTCTTTTTTTAAAAAATAAAATGTCCCCACAAAGGGGAGAAAATGTCTGAAGCATTACACCTTGGCCGCAGAGCCCTGACTCGGCATCGCCACCCTCCGTCTGGCTGGTTTCTGCCAAGGCCCCGAGAGCACAGAGGACACGCTGGCTGGACGGTTCAGTCCAGGAACCGCTGGCAGGCCTTCTTCCACCGGCAGGCTGTGCACCACTGGTCCCGGTGCTCGATGCCGTATACCTTGCGACACTTCTTGGCCTCGCCGCGGGCTTTCCTGCCGAAAGAGAATTTTGAGAGTCAGGGGATCATGCACCGGTGGTTAGACCTGGAGCCCCGCCAAGCCTGAGACTGCATGAACAGGCAGGGGCTGGAAGGGGGCTCCCACCAGAGAATGATAGTGCCTGGGACCAGAACTCAAGAGACAAAAGTCATATATCGGTGGGTCCTTCTTCTGGCCACTAACCCTGGTAATTATGCTGGATGGACTCAGAGTCCAGGCTACCAGCAGAGATGAGAGACCAAAACTAGAAAGCCAGGCACAATGGATGTCTCACCTGGTGCTGCTCTGGGCCCGGGGTGGAGAAGTGACAATCAGGTGAGATTTCATTGCAGGCGGTGGCTGCTGGGGCTCGCTGAAGCTTAGTGACCGGCTCCGGACCTGGGCACGAGGAGAGGGGCTGTGAGCACAGGCCTGAGCACGAGAGCAGTTGGGATGGCCGAGGACCACTTCTAAGACAGCCAGCCCCACTTCCTGAGCCCCTGGTGGTGCTGCTGGGCTCCAGGGGGAGCACCAGTGCAGGAGGCCACCATGCAGAAGGGAGCCCTTGGCAGGAAAGCCAGGCAGAGTTGAGGTTGCAGAGAGAAGCCCAGGCCTTAAAGCCACACACAGGCTCCAGCAAGGGCCAGGGCAAGGGAGCCACTTGACAATCCAGGAATCTACTTTTTGACATGTGGCAGTGGAGTCAGACTCAGCACACGCAGAATGAAGGAGGCATTCCACTGACCTCCTGGCATTTGAGCTGCACAAAGCTGATGCCTCCTGGTAGGAGACAGTACAGGCTAGAGCCCTCTATGTGTGGTTCAAAATGGGTCACAGTGTATTTCAGTCTGGGGTCTCACAGCCGTAGGCACTGGGTCCCCAGGGGCCCGAGATTCCTGACCCCGCTCAGACACTCCTATCTTCTCTCTTCTTACCCTCTTACTTACTTAAATACCAGAGGGCACATGCACTTGCCAGAGACTAAAAAGAGAAAGCACCTCACAGTAGGGCCAGGTCACACTGCAATGTTTTTGCTCCATTTCTGCACCCCATCCTTATTTTTGGGCATACATGTACACACATCCAGTGTTTTTTTGCAAGCCACCAAGGCCAGGATTTAAACCATGGTCGGCCTTGTGGAATCCACTCCAGAGACACAGTGCTTAACCCCCATGCTACAGGGCCAGACTCTTGCCCATCCTTATCCTCTCTGACCTCCCCACCTCTCCCCTTTCCTTCCCTCTCAGCATGAAAACCGTAACAAGCACTGAGGACACTCAGAGCTAAGAGAGACACTGACCCCAGCCTCGCCCAGTGATTTTCTTAGCATGAAACATGCTTGGCCTGGGCACTCCTGCGACACCACCCTTCCACCTCCCACAAGGGGCTGTGACCAACTGAGGAGTGTCAGGGAGTGGAGGGGACAGTACTCGGAGATCATGCAGAAGTTTGGAAGCCGGAGCGAGGTGGCAACGCCAACCTGTGCTGTGAGATGGCCTCCAGTCCCGGGGATGTTGGGAGAGCCTTCCCCTAGCATCCAGGAGTGCCAGTGGGCACAGACAGGCATACTCACCGGGGAGAGGGAGGAGGCCGTGCAGGGAGCAGCAGCCCAGCTGATACTGGTGTAGATGTGTGGGGAGACGGGGATCTGGAAGGACGGCAGAGCCTGCGGAGACAGGACAGCGTCAGCCTGGGGTCTGCTCAGGCACACTCAGGGGCCCCCAGATCCCGGTAACTTCACTTCGTGCAGCAGAAGGTACGTCTCTGCATAACGGAGCTGACCAGACAATACCGGAACCAGAAGCTGATCCAGAGAGCAACATCCGAGTATCCAAATCTGATGTCGTCTCCGGACGGCAAGGCTCCAGTCTGGTTTCGGAACCCCTGTCTCAGAGGGGGTTGGCGTGCCAGACCCATGGCTTAATCATCACAGCGGATTAACGTCTGGGCTGGATCACCTACTGAGAACAGGCTGCAGGCAGTTGCCAAAGAAAGTCCAAAGCCTTCTGAGCAGGGCGGAATAAGAAGTGGCACCCCCTGGCAACTACAAGAAGCAGTGACAAACTCTTGGATATCCAGGCTTCAGTCTATTTGTAAGACCACCAACCATCTAGGCCCCACGGGGACAGCTGGGGCTGGACGTTGTCTGAAGGTGAAATAGCTAAGTGGCCACCCACTCCAGCGAAGAGAGCCGGCGCACTTGGGGGTAAAGGCTTTTTGACTGAAAGCACTGCTGTTTCATTACTACCTTACAAATCAGCCCAGCGTTTGCTAAAAGCAAGATGCAGACATGAAAGAGTTTTAAGAAAAACTGACACGCCACGATCTGTTGGTTGACTGAGTACCTGGTACTGCGTGCACTGAAGAACGTCCTGAGTACCTGGTACTGCGTGCACTAAATGGCGCCCCTCTGTGCATCCTCCTCAGCCACGTGGGCAGGACAGCATGGTCTCGCCTGTACCCATGCCTTCCTGCCCCTCAGGCAAACCGCGCTTCTACTGTGTGTTATGGTTAATCACAGTTTCACACGCATCTCTTTGTCCAGATAAACCATGCTCTCCAGAAGGGCACAGACTATGTCCTGTTCTGTCTGCAAAGCTCACTTATCTCAATGCCTGATGTCCAGCAGGTATTCAAAACATGGGTACTGGGTTGTTTTTTAATGTAACTGAGTTCGAGGGGTTAAGACTGGCTCTGGGAGGCCCAGTTGCACTGCTGAATCCCCTTTTACAGCCAGCGGTCCAGGGACTCCCCAGCCCAAATCCATCTCCCTGGTTACGTAGGGATTTGATGAGGTGTCTGTAACCACTAGTGACAGCTGGCAATGTAGAACTCTGGAAGGATCCGCTCTTATTGAGCGTGAAGTCAGTTCCCTTTTCCTCCTTTATAGAAGTTAAGAGATTAGCAATTTGGCCAAAGGACACAGCCTTCAATCAGGTGGTCAGTGGCCCGTCATAGGATAGCCAGTGGCAGGTCAGACGCAAGGCGGAGCCCCCACGGTGGCGCACCGTACCTGGTATGCATGGTCGGCCTGAATGTGCCAGAAGGAACCGGGGGCTGACTTGCTAAGTGCACCCGAGGGCAGGGGAGACTCCAGGCCAGGGTGCTCGGGGCCGGAAAACCGGGGTTTGGGTGGAGGTGGTGGGAGAGCCGCAAGGGGAAGGCCCGTCACGCCGGGGGCAGGAGCTGGCTCGACGGTGGAGGTCCCCGGAGCAGGGGTGCCAGTCACAGCAGCAGCTTCTTCCTTTGCCTGCACCTCTGTGTAGTAGAAATCCTCCTCCCGCTTGAACTGGTCAGAGTCCACAGTGTCCCTGTGTGAAGGGAGAGGTGGCTGCCATCAGGACACGCTGCCTCAGTTCAAACCCAAGTGACACCAAGGCACAAGAGGGAAATGAGTATTCGGGTCCCACCTGACAAGTCAGAGGGAAGCCCAAGAAGTCCAGGAGCCCCGTTCCTGACAGGTGTCATGGAGGATCACGCACCTGCACATCAACAGGGACCACTTGTCCTGACACCTAGCTTTTCCCTCACAGAACATGAGCAAACCTCTCCTGGAGCAGGGGGCACCGAGCTGAGCACTGCCACACCCTCTCTGGGAGCCCCCTACCTGCGGCATGCTCTCTCCTCGGGGCTGCGGATAGGCTCCTGCCCCAGGGGCAGCAGGTACAGAGCATGGCCGTCACACTCGGGGCCACTCCCCAGCGCTTGAACCTGAGAACCCTGTTTCTACACAGAACTAAAGCATGTTGCTTCCTCTCGTTAGGCAAGAAAACACAGCCACAGGATGGACGGAGTTCCCTCCTCACCAACATCACCTGCACCACCACGCACAGGGCCTCCTCCCCTAAGGGCGCCTTTTTGGCAGAGGCCAGAGAGATCCTGGGGGTCCTCGGCAAGTCCTTTTCTGGAAAGCTGGTCACGCAGGCTTAGTGGGGAGAGGACAGCCAGATGTGCCCAAGGCGGAGGGCCAGGCTCCACACCTACCCCAGGTGGAGGGCTTTGACGTGTCGTTTGATGCCCACGATGGAACGCAGCACTTTGCCACAGCTGGGCCACAGGCACTTGTACATCACCTTCACGGAGTTCTAGGGCAGAAGGAAGGAAGGTAGCGGGCATGTTCTTCTCCCTCTTGCCTCTCCTCCCTACCCAGCCGCCTGCTCTCCTCTGTCCAACCCAACTAAGAACTCTGGGGGAGCAGGAAATGGGCAACCAGGAGCCCGATGCCCAGATCTGGGAAATGGCCCTAGTGGCCCTCGGCCCCAGGCTGCTGTGCTGAGACCCCGCCAGAGGCCTCTCACGCACGGTCCCCTGCAGGGGTGCAGGAGAGAAGGCAGGACTGGGGAGAGGTGAAGGGTGAAAAGGAACTGCATTAAAGAGGAGTAGGCTCCTGAGAATATCTCACGGCCACAAGCTACACAAGAAAACTGAAACGGAGGGGGTCCGAGAACACCTAGGACCCTTGGGGTCCCCTCCCCCTACGGCGGCCAACCCTACTCAGCCTGAGCTCACACTCACCCCATGATCCCATACCTTTCTTTTACGCGGAGCTGGTTCATCCAACAGGAAAGGGTCCGAATCGGTCTCAAACCCATGATCAGTCTGGGGGGAACCAAAGGCCTCCCCTAAATACTTGGGACTGGCCTGGGGGTGGGGAGGCGAGGGGGTGGAGATGCCACTGCTCCCGCTCCAGTGCCCGCTGGTGGTGCTCCTGCCGCTGTCCGACACGTCGCCACTCTCCTTCCAGGGGTCACAGGCCACGCGGGAAGCTAATCGAGGGAGAAAAAGAAGACGTTCACGGATTTGTCCCAGGCAAAGCGACAGGAGCGCCTGTCCTTTCTGAGAGCTGGGACACCTGGGGAAGGGTACCCTGCACCACAGACATTCCTATTCTAAAGGCAGACCTGACACACCCCAGTGGACATTTTCTGCCCCAGCCACCCGGCTCATCACTGCCCCACAGAAGCACGCTGCCACTTCATTCTGTACAGAATGAATGCAAAGAGACTAATTTACATGTATTTCTTGGGCAGTTCCATGGCCTGCTGGTTGGTGCACCTGGATTCTACATGGTCAACTGCACGGTTTGACCAGCTGGGTGGGGCCAGCAGGTGGTGTGGTCATTAAGGCGCTAGACTCCCACATGGCAAACCATGGTTCGAGTCCTAACCTGGTGGCTTGAAAATCATGCAGCGCGTGTGCACATATGCTCAAAATCCCGAGAGGAGAAGAGAAGGGACTGTGATATGACCATCCCCTCTGGGGGGCGATTTTTCACTTTCCCTATGCCTGTCTCTCTTGGGTGAGCGCACTCTATGAAAAAACCCTAAAAAAAAAAAAAAAAAGACTATTTTCTTTACTCTCCTTGTGCTAACAGAGCAAGCACGTACTACCAGGCTTCATGGCTAGATCCTCCTAGCGCGAGGACTTTAGCAGCCTAGTCATGGACTACAGGCTTTGGGTGAAGAAATTCTGCTTTTACCTCCCTTACGTTTACTTTCTATCTAGGGAAATTACTTATGAAAGATGCTTGTAATTGGCCACTTCCCTCCTGACCAGTGCTCAGAGCTAATTCCCTACTTTCCTCCACACTTTTAAGTCACATGCAATTTGGAGACATCTCACCAGTGAAAAAGTTCTTCCCTGGGAGTAAGGAAGAGCCGTTACAAATTTCCAAAACCTGTCAGGTTCACTACCGGTCTTGTCAAATGGCTGATACCCACTAAGTCTTCTTCCCTCAGTGTGACTGACAGTGTATTTGGGGGTCACGACTAGAAGAAATTCATTTTTGTTTTACTTCATATATTTGAACTCATACTGCTGGGTTTTATTAATTAAACGTATTTCAGACTGCAGCTCATTCATTTCAGTCCCTTGGCTGGTAGGCCTGCACAGATTTACAAGGCTAAATTAGGCACCTGGAACAAGGGCATGAATTTTTAGAGGCCACCGGGGCACCATTTAGTATGTTTCTCCCTCAGTGAACTAAATATTCCTCTATGACCTTGTTCGGGTCCCCGCCAAAGAGCCACGCTCAAAGAACAGACTCAAGTGGTAAGTTCGGATCAAGCCCGTACTCAATCATCTTCACAATGACCAGAAAGCTTCTCTCCAGATGATGAAACTGAGGACAAAGAATGGAAGCATCATCTAACTCAACGGCACTCAGCCAGTCTGAGGTGCCCAGGAGAGGAGCCTCCTGAAATCCAGGTGCCAGCTGACCGTGGCAATTAGCTGCTCACAACGAAGGCCGTCGGGGTGGGCCTCTGGTCGCCCAGAGCTCAGCGAGGCCCTGTGTGCTCACCGGAGAAGTTGGCCTCAGTCCCAGGCGGACTCTGCACGACTGGGCTGCAGGACAGGGACGTCAGCACCATGGCCGCCATCATCTCGTCCATCTCCACTGCATCCGACTTCCTGGATTCAAACAGGAAATTGAGAAAGCTTACTTCGTGGGTTTCCACAAATAAAATAACAGAAACATTACTTCCAGTTATTTTCACGTGATCATCGTATAGTTCTGAACTGTCCCCTCCATTCAGCCAGTCATGCTCAAGAAACATAAGGGAAATAAATCATGACGATCTCTCCTCAGTCTTCACGAAAAGTGTTCATTCTCTTTTTAATTCTTTCTTTCTTTTTTTTCTTTTTTCTTTTTGTTTTTTTTACTGTGGGGTATGTGAGTTCACTGGGCAGAGACAGAGAGAGGGAGGAAGAGTGAGAAAGCACTACCCAGGAGGGGTGGCCACACCACAGTCCCTTCTACTCCATTCCTTGTCAGGGCTTTGGGCACACACACACATGCACTCATTGTGTTTTTCAAGCTGCCAGGTCTGGGACTCATACTGTGCAGCTTGCCATGGGATCCAGCACTTAACCTCCATGCCACGGGCTAGCCCCCTAAAAATGCTCATTCAGAATGATGTTTCTCGGGGAACCAGCAGTTAGCGTAATGGCTATGTCACTGCACTCCCACATAGTTGACCGCGGTTCGCGTCCCGGACCCGGTGGCTTAAAACTCACGCCGGGCGTGTGTGCGTGCGTGCCCAAGATCCCGAGAGGAGAATGGAAGAGAAAGGACTGCGGCATGGCCATCCCCTCTGGGGGGGTGATTTCTCTCTTTCTGTCTCTATGTCTCTCTCTGTCTGTCTGGTGAGCGCGCGCGTAAAAACCCCTCCAAAAAAAAAAAAAAAAAAAAGAATGATGTTTCTCCCCAATCTGCATGTCTTTCTCCCCACACACTCTTACTGTGCTTGCTTAAACTTCTAGTACTTTTTTTTTTAAAACAGGAAGGATGTGCATTATTTATGGTTAAGTGAAAAAACAAGTTACAGAGCAGTGAATATACCATGATCTACTTTTGAAAACAAAAAGAACAAGGGAAGCCATAATATTTGAGTGGAAGTGGATGGATTTAGTTCTCAAGGGCTTGTAATTTTTGAGGATAGGGAAAAATTAACCTTTTTCCACTATTCAAGTTTCTCTTCATACTTTTTAAAGAATTATTTTACTTTTAAACTTTTATTTATTTATTTATTTTAATTTGACCAGAGAGGGACACAGAGAGAGAAAGAACGTGAGAAAGCAAGCCACCAGGTCCAGGACTCGAACCACAGTCAACCATGTGGGAATCCAGCACCCTTAACCACCACGCCACCTGCCAGACCCTCCCTTCATATTTTTTAAATGAAAAAATAGCTTTTTAAGAATTATTTTATTTAACTATATTTATTTATTTTAATTTGACCAGAGAGGGACAGAATGAGAGAGAGAGGGAAGGTAAAAAGTCAAGCCACAAGGTCAAACCACCATGGTTGGCCACGTGGGAATCCAGCACCCTCAACCACCACGCCACCTGCCAGCCTCAAGAAATAAAATATTTCTAATTCTCAGTGTTGCTAATGTTTTAAATTACAATTAATTTAATTTAACTATTAAGTAATGGTTTTGTTATTTTTCATTTCTCCATATATTTATAACCCATAATAGAGTTTCTAAAACAATTATAAATGACACAGGACAATCGTAGCTTTTCCAATTTACTATTAAAACAGTTTGAGATTATTAAGAGTAGGTTTTCAGCAGATGGCATGGAGGTTAAGGCAGGTAATCTCAAATGGCCACCTCTGCAGTTCAAGTCCCAGATCCAGCGGCTTAAGAATCACACTGGGCACATTGTGCCTAAAATTCCAAGAGGAGAATGGAGAAGGGACTGTGGCATGGCCATCCCCCAGGAAGTGATTTCTCATTTTTTTCTCTGTCTCTCTAGCAAGCACGTGCACCCTGTGGTGAAAATCTTAAAAATTAAATTAAATTTAAAAATCCAGACCCTGCCACCCTGGGGCAAGTGGTGAGATGCAGCTTCATGAGGTGAGGCCAGGGCCACATGGGGGGCCCAGGAATCAGTTTCAGAACAAACCTAGAACTGGCCATGACAGTAAGTGTGTATAATCCTAGCTAACTAGGAGGCTGGCAAAGGAATATAGTGACATGGTGAGAATGTA